CCCCAAAACCCCAAAACCCCAAAACCCCAAAACCCCAAAACCCCTAATTAAAGGGCATTCATTGATTAAAATAAAGAAGGTTCCAGTACAAACTATCATGTGCTTAACTGTTGATTGAGGATTCATTGAAGACGGACTTTGACTTTTCATTGTCTTTTTGCATAGACTTCTGAGTCCTTGATAAATCTTGGCCATGTATTTCATTAATGGATAAAACGAGGTTGTCATCTCCGCCTGCTTTGTAATTGTTCATGTTCCTTCTTTTCTGGAGACTATTATTAGAGGTATGACTTCTATCACTCATTTTGAGCCGGTTTTCTTTCTCTCCAAAGCCAGACATAGCACTATGAGAAACAGAATTTTCATCGGATTCTTGGTCGCCATTCTCGGAGAAATAATATTTTGATACTGTAAGTTCAGAGATAGATTGATGAAGCGTCACTTCGTCATTATGCAAAAGTATTCTCTTAAATTTCAAGGTTTTCCCTTTATTGCTATGTTTAGCTGCCCTTGTGTGAAAGAACTTTGAGCAGTAAACACAAAGGTACGCAAATGTTACTACAACTGCGAATACATAGTCGAACGTACTAACTTCGAAGAAGATCATGTAAAGGATAATAACCATAAATCCGTGCAAAGCTGAATATATCGTAACTTTACTAATGTATCCCATTTTGTTAATATAGAGCAGAGCAACGTATCTATATGCCTCTGTAATGATGAAAGCAGAATAAATTGTAAGAATGTTAAGTAGGGTGATGAAGTCTTCAAAGCGAATATACCCTGCAAATCTCTCCTTGGTTATTGCAGAAGTATCAACTCCTCTGCTGGTGTAATGCCAATATTTTAGATGGTAAAGAATCATATTTGTTGTAAAAGCTGCCAAGTAGATGTAAAATCAGACTGCAAATAAGGAAGCTCTTGGATTAGCATAAATAATCTTATTTCTGTACAAGTACACCGATTGCATAGAAGATGATATTGCTCAAAATAAAGAATTTTCCTCGAAACTGGTCTGTTTTGTAATATACGTCACTATTGAAATCATAGATGAGCCTTCCAATAACTGCGATTATACAAAGTGTTAGTCCAGTTACCTTAAGCTTCGTTGGAGTCTCGAATTTCATAAAGAATGCAATAAAGCTTGTAAATGCTGGAGCAAAAGGTTGGTAAGCAGCTGCAATAAAAACTCCATTTTCAGTTTGAGCCCTTGAGAAAAAGTGTGCTGCTACTGAAACGTGAACTATTCCTCATATAATAATAAATGGAATAGATCTGAGGGTTATCCTGAAAGTTTGACCAGTGATTAAGGCAAATATCAAGAAGATGAGAGCTACAACACCATGGAATACTCCATAGACAAATGTCTTCGGCATTCCTAATTTGTAGTTCACTGTCGTTTGAATGAAAGTCCTCCAGTATGACACATACAACTGTGCTAAAGCTAGCAAAGGGATGTGAAGATGTTGGAAGGTAAGGGTATAGTTCACATAGCTCTTATGCACGTTATCAACCTTCATCTTTAATTATTATTAAATTTAGATAATCTCTACAACAAGGGATAATGTTGGGGTTTTGGGGTTTTGGGGTTTTGGGGTTTTGGGG